GCCCCCTCTGGTTCACAGGTCCAGCTCGTAGAGTGGAGCAGCCGGACAGGAGCGGGACCCTTAGCCACGCCAGAGGGTCTGCTAGTGGCACAAGACACAACAGGACACATTGGCTGCCGGTGCCAGCCCCCCTTGAATCCCTGTCCCAGTGGCAATGGACTCAGTCAAGGGAGGAGTGGGCACCCCGCTCTGGCACGCAGCCGCCAGGAGTCAGATCGGGGTAAGCGAGCCCCGCTACCCCCCTCCGCTGGGCAGAGTCCCGCGGCACGCGCCACTCACCCTGACCAGGATCTGACCAGACTAGCCCTTTCCAGTGGGGCCTACCATCCGCCCCTCCCGCGTTGCCTGCTTGGCGGCTGGGGCCTGGAGAGACCTTCTGCTTCTCTCCGCCCCGCAAGGGTCCCTCGGCGGAGCAGACGCCTCCGGCCCCGCAAAGCAAGGAGCGAGCCCCGGGACCAATGGAGGCACTGGGCCTCCTCGGCGTCGTTCGAAGCGAAGCCATTGCAGCAGCCCTGCAGGAGGTCAGCAGGGGGCCAGTGACAGGCGGTGGAGAGCTCTGCCCCACGGCACCGGCTGGCTGGGGCCCCCCCCCGTGCCGGCCAAGGGCCGGAAGTGCCACCTTCCTGCCAGCTCCTCCGTGGTGGAAGCAGAAACCACCGGGAACCAACCTGCAGTGACCCTTAAAATCGAGACTCTAGGACACCAGACTTGCAGACGAAAACTTGATTCCTGCCCCGTTCCAGCTGAGTGGCAAACCCCAGAACCCTGCTGAGGCAGCCCGATGCGCCCGTGTTGCAGACTGTGCCTATATCCAAGCGACCGCCAGGAGGGAGGAGAACACGGCCCGCCCCGAGGAGACCTGGTGGCAAACCCCAGAACCCTGCTGAGGCAGCCCGATGCGCCCGTGTTGCAGACTGTGCCTATATCCAAGCGACCGCCAGGAGGGAGGAGAACACGGCCCGCCCCGAGGAGACCTGGTGGCAAACCCCAGAACCCTGCTGAGGCAGCCCGATGCGCCCGTGTTGCAGACTGTGCCTATATCCAAGCGACCGCCAGGAGGGAGGAGAACACGGCCCGCCCCGAGGAGACCTGGTGGCAAACCCCAGAACCCTGCTGAGGCAGCCCGATGCGCCCGTGTTGCAGACTGTGCCTATATCCAAGCGACCGCCAGGAGGGAGGAGAACACGGCCCGCCCCGAGGAGACCTGGTGGCAAACCCCAGAACCCTGCTGAGGCAGCCCGATGCGCCCGTGTTGCAGACTGTGCCTATATCCAAGCGACCGCCAGGAGGGAGGAGAACACGGCCCGCCCCGAGGAGACCTGGTGGCAAACCCCAGAACCCTGCTGAGGCAGCCCGATGCGCCCGTGTTGCAGACTGTGCCTATATCCAAGCGACCGCCAGGAGGGAGGAGAACACGGCCCGCCCCGAGGAGACCTGGTGGCAAACCCCAGAACCCTGCTGAGGCAGCCCGATGCGCCCGTGTTGCAGACTGTGCCTATATCCAAGCGACCGCCAGGAGGGAGGAGAACACGGCCCGCCCCGAGGAGACCTGGTGGCAAACCCCAGAACCCTGCTGAGGCAGCCCGATGCGCCCGTGTTGCAGACTGTGCCTATATCCAAGCGACCGCCAGGAGGGAGGAGAACACGGCCCGCCCCGAGGAGACCTGGTGGCAAACCCCAGAACCCTGCTGAGGCAGCCCGATGCGCCCGTGTTGCAGACTGTGCCTATATCCAAGCGACCGCCAGGAGGGAGGAGAACACGGCCCGCCCCGAGGAGACCTGGTGGCAAACCCCAGAACCCTGCTGAGGCAGCCCGATGCGCCCGTGTTGCAGACTGTGCCTATATCCAAGCGACCGCCAGGAGGGAGGAGAACACGGCCCGCCCCGAGGAGACCTGGTGGCAAACCCCAGAACCCTGCTGAGGCAGCCCGATGCGCCCGTGTTGCAGACTGTGCCTATATCCAAGCGACCGCCAGGAGGGAGGAGAACACGGCCCGCCCCGAGGAGACCTGGTGGCAAACCCCAGAACCCTGCTGAGGCAGCCCGATGCGCCCGTGTTGCAGACTGTGCCTATATCCAAGCGACCGCCAGGAGGGAGGAGAACACGGCCCGCCCCGAGGAGACCTGGTGGCAAACCCCAGAACCCTGCTGAGGCAGCCCGATGCGCCCGTGTTGCAGACTGTGCCTATATCCAAGCGACCGCCAGGAGGGAGGAGAACACGGCCCGCCCCGAGGAGACCTGGTGGCAAACCCCAGAACCCTGCTGAGGCAGCCCGATGCGCCCGTGTTGCAGACTGTGCCTATATCCAAGCGACCGCCAGGAGGGAGGAGAACACGGCCCGCCCCGAGGAGACCTGGTGGCAAACCCCAGAACCCTGCTGAGGCAGCCCGATGCGCCCGTGTTGCAGACTGTGCCTATATCCAAGCGACCGCCAGGAGGGAGGAGAACACGGCCCGCCCCGAGGAGACCTGGTGGCAAACCCCAGAACCCTGCTGAGGCAGCCCGATGCGCCCGTGTTGCAGACTGTGCCTATATCCAAGCGACCGCCAGGAGGGAGGAGAACACGGCCCGCCCCGAGGAGACCTGGTGGCAAACCCCAGAACCCTGCTGAGGCAGCCCGATGCGCCCGTGTTGCAGACTGTGCCTATATCCAAGCGACCGCCAGGAGGGAGGAGAACACGGCCCGCCCCGAGGAGACCTGGTGGCAAACCCCAGAACCCTGCTGAGGCAGCCCGATGCGCCCGTGTTGCAGACTGTGCCTATATCCAAGCGACCGCCAGGAGGGAGGAGAACACGGCCCGCCCCGAGGAGACCTGGTGGCAAACCCCAGAACCCTGCTGAGGCAGCCCGATGCGCCCGTGTTGCAGACTGTGCCTATATCCAAGCGACCGCCAGGAGGGAGGAGAACACGGCCCGCCCCGAGGAGACCTGGTGGCAAACCCCCAGGGCCTCAGCAGTGTCACCGCACAGCGCCCCAGGGTTTCCTGCCTGGCCTCTGTGGTGCGTTGGTACGCCCCAGTCTTCCTCCCCGAGTCCCCCAGCGGCCCTTTGGGGTACTCCCCAGTTCCTGGTTGCTTGGGAGCGCTCTGCCTTCCCCCTCCCCGTCTGTGCGTCCCCTGCCTGGGCCTGGAGGCGGTGGGGCCGTGGAGATTGCTGCAGCACCGAAGGGCTCTCCAGCTTGCCCCGGCATGGGCCTGCACAGAGGCCCCCTCAGGCCGTCCCCGTTCCTGGGGAGCGACGTTTCTGTCCCTCCAGTCCAGGTGCTGTCCGGCTTGTCCTCCCTCCGGGAAACGCAGCTGCCGGCGCGCCATTGCTCCAGCTACACTGGCCAGCACCTGAGCCGTTAGCCCCTGGGCGTGTCTCCTCTCAGCGCTGTGCTCTGCCACGGCTCTGGCCTTGTGGTGCAGGAGTGCCCAGGCCCGAGGCGCCTCCCGCGCTGGCGGTAGCCCGGGTCTGGTATTTACAAGCCGGTGCCGCCCAAACCATCCCGGTCA